TAAAAAGCCGGCCTTTAGTTGGTTTATTACAGTGGATTTGATTTCACCCTCTCACGTGGATAAATTTATAGAAAAGTGAATCGAATGAAGATACGAATTCTCTATCGTTTCGATAATATTTCGTCGAATCAATTGCGAATACACGATGGAATATATTATTTCAATTTCCTTCATTTTTACATTTAAAAAAATTATATAAATTACACTTGGATGATAAAAATTGGGAGATGTATTGATTAATTATGAGAGAAAAATGGTGGATTATTGGAAGGTAAAGAGATCGATAAAGTTGGAAAATATTTAACAGATAATATCAATTATTTTTATTAACTCACTGTGCTAGGGTTTTTAAAATTAATCGAGAGATTCGATTTTAAAAAGAATAAAAAAAAAGAAACATTTATACGTAATTTAATAATATTTTACACCTGTTGGAGTTTCATCGACGAACAGCTTCGACATTCAAATATTTAATCAAAAAAAGAAAATGTTTAAACAAAGTGTATTTTTAATTATAAATTATAAATTTTGTTGTGAAAAGGGGAAAAGTTATTAATTCGAGGGAAGGCAGTAAATACGAACGAGTTATCCTTTCCCGTTGTTCAGAACGTTTAGCTTTATTGACAGAGGTACGGTAAAAGCAAACGCAGCAAAGCGGAATAACGTGAAAGAAGGGAAAAAAGTAAAAGTGTAGAGGGTGACACGCTCTGACAGGGTGGAAAATTCAAGTCGAAAGGGAAATCGTGAAATGACTTTTCCTCGTGAGAACAGAATGAATATCGAATGTAAGTGATACATTCTTGTTTCCTTTAATTGTGAATTAATTACATATCATTAAATAATTGCACCATTTTCCATTTTAATTCTTTCTCTCGAGCTCGAGAAAATACTTGTTCAACAATAAATTCAATTATTATAATATCCAAAGCATATCTAAAAATACACTTACATACCTCTGCATTCTTAATTAATTTAAATAATAATAATCCAATTAACTTTAACAAATTTTAACAAATTTATTGGAGGATAAAATCCAATAATTCACTCTCTAGAATTTTACTTTTCAAATATAAAAATAATACAAAAATACACTTACATATCTCTGCATTCTTAATTAATTTAAATAATAATAATCCAATTAACTTTAACAAATTTTAACAAATTTATTTATTTATTTGAAGGATAAAATCCAATAATTCACTCTCTAGAATTTTACTTTTCAATTATATCCCGAATAACCCTCGAAGTAAGTACATCTTAACAAAATGCAATTTAAATCTCGATTAAACTCTAACATCGTCCAAACCTATGATTTCAGTTCGAAAAATCTTCAAAAATCTCGACTCTTCGATACTTTGACCCTCCACCGTGACCCAGCTTGTTCTCCACTCCATAGTAATCGGTAGCCGCGTGTCTATGCAAATTCTCCGCCGTTCGAATTCCGCGTATCAAGATGTGAGTCACGCCTGTAATCTTTCGCATAGTAAATTATCCGCCAATATCAACGAGATCAGATACTGGCCGGTATTATCTGTTACGATTCGAGGATGGGGGAGGGTTGAAGAGGGATCGAGAGACGCGAGACAGAGGGTGCGACAGAGCTGGAGGATCGAAAATGGAGAGACAGAGAGAGAGAGACAGAGAGAGAGAGAGAGGGGGTCAAACAGAGAGAAAATCCAGGGGAAAGGGAACGAAAGAGAGAGAAACGTGTAAAGATAGAAGAGAGAGAAAGAGATCGACACTCCACCCCGTCGGTGTAAGGGCTTTGCGCAGTTATAAATGCGGTTTTGTATCTAGCTTTACAGGACAAAGTAATGGGCTTAGATAATCCTGATTTAATAAATCGAACAGTTGCGGAGGGAGCGTTTACAACGCGTGACTAACGCGTTCAAAAACAAGATGAATGACGCGACACGTCGAAGTGCCACCGCCTGCTCTCGCATTTACATTTCGCCACTGTATCTCTGGATGAGGGGGGGGGGGAGGAAAAAAAGAATGTCCTAAAAATGTGGATACAAAGCTGCGTAGGATTTGTCGGAGTCGACAAGAGCTAATTTTCTTTCTTTCTTTCTTTTTTTTTTTTAGGGGTTTTCGAGGGAGTATAACTTGAAGGTATGTTAAGGGGATACGCGAGCAATTTTGTAAAAACAAAATGGATTTCTTCTTTTTGAAAATTATTAAATTAATTTGATCTTTTTTTTTTTATTAATTAAGAAAAAAATGTGTAAATTTTAAGCTATCTTTGATGAAGTAACGAGTTGTACAAGCTTTTGGGAGATAAATGAAGGAATATTAGGTAATTATATATTTTCCAATAAATGTTTTGGAAGATTCGTAATTTTTATTATTAAAGATTGTATATTCTTTGGAAACTTTTCAGAACTTTTATGAAATTTCATACAAAAATCTTCAAGATAAATATTTAAGAAATATTTGTGAGATTGTTAAGAATATTAAAAATTTTTGAAAAGGATTTGGATTTTTTCTATTTCTTTTTTTTTTTATCACAAATGGAGATGAAAAAAAGTAATTAATAAAGGGAATGAATATTTAGCGCATAACATTTTGACAAACGGGGCAACTTCCATTGTTCTAATGTTAACGTTCAATTTGAGGCCAATGTAAACTGCAGAGAGATTTTAATGGCTTATTATCGGTTACTTGCGTCACGTTTTGGCTCCATTACGGTCTATTAAATTAGAGGTAATTCCTGGTTAAACAGTGCGCCGCCATAATGTTTGCCGAAAATCAATTCTTACAGGGTGGTGGGACAATTTCTGCTCCGTTTAAGGACAATTCGTCATTAAATCGAATTAATAAATAATAAACCGTCTAATATAACTAAATTTATTGATATTTCCAAACAAGATTCATTTGTATTCCCTATTATATATTACACAGTCGTAGACTGTGTACATCTCGCCTATAGTGAATATGAAATTTGATTTATTATACGTACTTACGTTTCACGAAACATTTACTCGTACTACTTACAACTAATAATATAAATGATTCTTGAAACGTACGAATTAAATTATTTTCTCATAATTAAATACACGAACGAAAAGTAATGATATTTACATCATTATTATTAATCATCATTAATGATAATAAAATCTCACAAAATTATAAAAAATAAATCCAAATTACTCACATTACTCAATTATAGATATTATTTATGCAAGAGAATATTCGAAATCTCGATTGTAAGATATGCGGACAAATCTGATAAAACAGCTTCCTCGACGAGAAAAAAAAAAAGAAGAAAAACATTTCGTCCGAATTTAATAATTCGTTTGCCCGATTTCGGGTCGCGATATGTTGATCGAGTGATCGATCGAACGTTTTATCACCGCCGATAAAAGCGAAGAGAGCACAATAAAAAAGATAAGCGGGAACCAATATAGCCAAGAATCAATTTTTATGTATTGCGAGTTCACGAAGACACTGGCAACCGTGTTGAAAATCGTATCCGGAAACCAGATTTTCATTTCCCGTTTGCTCTATCGTTACACTCGGCCCCGCGAGAACTCTACTTTATCGTCGAGCAACAACTTGTTCAAATTTTATCACCCTTGCCATCATCTTTTTCCCTCTCGTCCAACTCTTGATTCAACTAAAAGCAATTAAATACAGAAACATGACTCAAGAAATAAAGGTTGAATACAGTCGAGATTTATTCGAATTCTTCAAATATAATAATCGTATATACACGTATTTCTAAATGTACTCAAATTTTGTATTCAAATATCTTTACTCCAATTACAAATATTCGTACATCGTCGATTTTCGAATCCAATATTTGCCGCGTCCTATTACTATTTATTTATTTCCAAAGTTACTTAAGAATCGGAATAAAACTCGTCAAAAATATCGAGCTCGATAATAAAGGTTAAATCAGGTTGTCGAACAACTATCCTCTGATATTGGAAAAACTGTGACAGAAAGGGTTTAAACACAGAGGGATGGACGTTTTACCGGTGGCGCAAACGGCGGCGTGGCAGTCAATCTCGGCCAGATTGTCCCAGCCAGCCTTCCTTCCTCTCCGTTATCTTAATTCCTCGAGTGTTTTAATTTTCATCCGAACAGCTATTAACTTTTACGGCTGGCCGTTTACTTTTTAATTCGTTTACCGCCTACACGCCCGGTTGCACCAACGCCGACGCGCCCGCTTATATCTTTAATTTAAGCTCTCGACTTGGCGGCCATTGAACAAGGCTGCGGATTGGCGAGGAAAGAGGGGCGCCACGGGGGTGGAGTTTAGTTGGGGTCACGCGGCGCTCGCCGCTATGGATAGAGGGTGGTTTGTGGGTGCAATCGGTACGCTCGAGTCCCGCCGCTCCCCTGGCGCCCGTTACGTTAATTAAATACATTGTTGCGGGGACACGGCCTCTCCTCCCGCGTATTTCCAGCTTTATAGATGTACAGGCGGGGGGGAGGACCGCCTTGAGCCGTCTTCGTACCACCTTCGTCGATTTTTTTTTTTTTTTTTTTTTTTTTTTCCTCCAGGTGTGGGTCACTCACAAAGTGGATTGTTTGGAGGATTGTTTCACGAGGATTCGTGAACTGAGGATTGGTGATAAGTGTGATCGACTATGGATGGACGCCATCTGGCGATTTTGTGTTAATGCGAACGGATGACGTTGATTAATGTTGGAAAATTTATGCCGGTGCTTAAAGAAACGCTGGAGATGTTAGAAATTAATAAAGGAGGGTTTCTTTTTTTCTTTCTTTTGCTGAAGGTCTCCTCTCTTTCTCTCTGGGAATAGGGAATAATCTAAACGTAAAATCATCGAATCGATGAGATTACATTACATTTCGTTCAAACGTAATTCGAAACTTTTCTTAATTTCCATAATTGTTACAAGATGCATAAAAGATTCACTAAAACGCTTCGTATTTTATTCTTTTGAAAATTTCAATTTTGGAAGTAAGAAGGAAGGATTTATTTCAAAACAAAGGCACAAGTTTCCAACGAGACGATCCGTTTGTGATTGCAGGTATGGTTCCAGAACAGGCGGACAAAATGGCGGAAAAAGCACGCGGCCGAGATGGCGACGGCGAAGAGGCGGCAAGAAGAGGTCGAAGGCGTCGTCGCGGAGGGTGAGGATGGTTGCAGCGACGCGGAGGCCGAGGGAAACAGCGAAACCGCCGCGAAAAGGCTGAGAAGGGAGCTCGAGCAACAGTATAGGCATTAAAACAAATGTGAGACGTCGATTCGAGGAAAGGAAATGAATCGAAAGACTAGATTCTCCGCTAGATAGATTCGTAAAATGAAGGAGTGTGTGGCGAAAAGGATTTTAAAAAATTTACAGATTTCCAGCCTGTTACGGTGCTTCGATTGTTTTGTGGGTTGAATCTTTTGAAGCACAAGATGTTTCATAAATTTCCTTTTTCTAATTCTGGATTTTTCTTTTCTTTTTTTTTTTTTTTTTTTTATTTGGAAATTGGTCAATCAAATTAAAGATTATGAAAATTTATAAAGAATTAAAATAAGATATAGTGTCTGTCAAAAGTTAAAGTAAATTGGAAAGTTAGAATGAATGAAATTCAAAATGATTTTTCTTCTCTGTTTTAGTAAATATTTTTATCGAAAATGACACGATGAAAAAGATATTTATTTTCAAAATTTTCAAAATTTCTTATATCGTAATAAGATGTAGGAATATTCAACTGGAGGTGGAGAGTTACTAAACTTTTGGCAGTTACTTTATTTCAGTTCGCAAGTATCACAAATCGGAACTCGTAATAACATTACTACCCTTAACTCGAAGGATAATTGTAGAATTAAACGAAAGATTCGGAGGGAAAGTGGTCCAAATAACAAAATCTTTAATTTCGAAAGGACAAAGTTCCCGAAGTTGAATAGAAAAATTTAGATGTTTCCAAATGTTAAAAAAAGTTTGAAATCACTGCATGGAATCAAAAGAAGAAAAAGTGGATAGAAATTTTAGCTTTGAATAAAAAGCTTGGAATTCTGTTATCACAAAAAATTCTTTAATTAAAAATCGACCGGAAAAGATATAATCTATTATAATTGACTTCAAACATTTTCAAATTTGAAAATTCGTAACAATTTTTAATAAATATCCATCTCCAGATAATTTATACAGATAATATTTTTATTGTATTTTTCTCGAAATATATTTATTATCACTCTTTCATTGCATTAAGAAAAGGAAGATAAGATTTCTCAAGAAAACAATTTCTTTTCTTCATACAATATTTACAATCGAATCGTTTCAACGGGAAACATTTAATTAATAGAAAAAAGAAAAAAAGAAAAAAAATCTTTGTTTAAAATCGATGCCACAAAGACTGACGGGTTGAAGAAAAAAATCAAGCATCTCCTATCCAATATCGTCGAAACGCTATGATTTGTGTCAAAGAGTATGAAAAATACGGATATTCGAAGCTTAAAATATAATATTGTGCCGTTAAAACGTGTTAACTTGTAGATAGAAACGTTGGGGGAGAAATATATATATATATAATATATATATATATAATGTATACGATTTTTTAAAATATAAAATTAATCGTGTGATTGACGCATATTACAACTGTTATTAAAGAACCAATCGATCGATTCCTATTAGTTAGAAGAGGATAAACGAAATTCGATTGATCAATTTTTATACAAAAACGTCGATGTATGTAAAAGATTTAAAAAAGAAAAAGAGAATAAAACTCGAAATTACGTACGGATTGTTAAATAACTCTATTGGAATAAAAGATAAAGATCGATTTAACGAATTTTTGCAAGATAATGAGTTTTAGTGGCACAATGACGAGATACCTATTTTCACATACCCATTCATTCAAATGTGTTACGTTGATAAATGCTGATAATGGATCACGCGTTATTTTCGTTTGGAAAAATTCCATCGGCGAATTTTTAACGTTTATAGAGGTCTATCGTTTGTATATATTTGTATTAAGATGCCATATTATGCTATAACGAAAGGACGATCCTGCCGTCTGGATGTTAAAAGGATTTAACAAGCAAAATTATTATATTGTAACTGGAAGACAGTAATTACACGTATGCGATTATTTGCGGGATTTTGATGTTGAAGAAAGGAAAATAAAGGCGAAGATATTCCATAAGAAATATCGAATTGGAATTTTTTTCAGGCAAGAGAAAGAAAAAATTTGTTTATAACGATGCACGATCGACAAATTAAATCTTGTATTCGTTTAATTGTGTACATTGAAAAGGAATTCGCTCTATTGATATTATTAATTTAATTAGTCGAGGATATTATTAGGAATAATATAATAAATCTCGATCGATGAATCTAGTCATATATATATATATTAAAAGGTAATTTGTATGATAATTGCGATTAAGTTTATTAAGAATATCAGTTTAAACGATTATTGAGATGTCACGAATTTTAAAAAGGTGATAATAATTTGATAATTTGAAAGCATGAAAATTTTGAAGAAAAGATTTTGGGAAAGAATTGAAATATTGAAATTTTGGGAATTTTGGGAAAATTTCGATTCGTCTCATCATACTTATATTCCTTCTTTCTTTTTGGATAATCTAATACTCTAATTTCGACAATAATATTTGGATTAGTAAATAAGCCCTGCACGTATTATGTACAAAGAATAATCACAGCAATTCGACTGATTTTCAAAATGCATTTTTTTTTTTTTTTTCGAAAACGAAGCCATCTATGCAATTTTATTATTCTTCATTTTCCTGATTACCATGAATTACCAAGATCATCCTATATTTATAAATTACTTTCTTAGTAAAATTAACTCTTCGTTTCATCTGAATCTTGCCTTGAAAATTGAAAATTTTTAGCGCACACGAGAAAATATCACATCCTTTTTAATCCTGCAAATAATTAACTATAATAATAATAAAAAAAAAAAAAAACGCCGGTAAGCTCATATTCAATTAAACAGCACGTGTAATAGGTAAATATATGCTGAATATGCCATCACTATGAGCATAAATAATATAAATATTCGAATAAATTAAATGCAAATGCGAAACGAGGATAAAGATTCGAAGAGAAAAATGTACGTAAGAAGAAAAGAATCGAACGATTCCCATTAAGAATTCTCTATGTATTTACGTCCCAGTGAATTATGCTAATGAACGAATAAGCGGATCGAAGTGAATTTTGTATATTCTGTAGATACGATAAACGTGAATGTGATATTTAACGTATTTAATAAGAATCTGACGTATAGATATATATATATATAGGATGATTCTAGAGCGAATCGTTACAATTTTTTAACATATTTTGATCATTTTATAAATAAAAAAAAAATGCTCTATCAATAGTTCAAACAACAACTTTTTACCTTTATCTTTTCTCTTGTAGTGAATTCATTATTTTCGTTCAATGATCATCTTCCGAACGAATAATTTCCCATTTTTGCGAAATAGAAAAATAAAAAAAACTTTTATTTCCATTGTTTTCATTCACTTTCCTTGAAACAAAACAAAAAAAAAAAAAAAAAAAAAAAAAAAAAAATTTTAATAATTTGAAAATTTAAAAATTCAATTATTTGCGAATTTATAAAATTCGAGAATTTGAAAAAATTTCAGAATTTGTGGATTTTTTTTTTTTTTTTTTTTTTGATTATTAATTAAGAATTCGGATTAGAAAATTTGAGCGTTCGATCCTAGATATTTAATATAAATATCTCTCATAAAACCGCTTCCGTGTTCAAAATGATCATCGTACCCTTAAAAATTATTGTCGAATCGCCCAAAAATCATCCAACGAGTAGGTGTTCCCCATTAAACTCGAAGAAGGAAAAAAAACGAAAAAAATATAGGATCGTAGACGTACACGTATAATGTATAATCGCAGGAAGCGTGCAGCTAAAGAAGAGGAAGCGGAAGTCACTTGCAAGATCCTCTCGATACCCGAATCCAGCGCGCATTCTTTTTTTTTAGCGCGGTTACCATTGCCGATATATTGCGAGAATGAGATTTTTCAGTTGGAAAGTATTGTGATTGATTAATTAACAAGTTTTGAAACGGAATAAATACGAAATGTGTAATGATCGAAAATGGCGGGTATACTAGACGTACCAATTACTCGAGCGTTTAACGTGTTACTGTACAGTATTTAGATAAATTGCTGAACGAACGAGGTAGAGACAATCTGTATAAAATATTGTATAAATTATACATACGTGTTATCTATCGCTTGTGTATTATATCTCCAATTTAATAAATGGAACACGTATTACGGTAATTATAAAAAAAAAAAAAAAATCACCTTGTGTTAATCTTTCATCGCCCATGTTTTAAGATATTTGAAGTATCTTGGTGTTTTTCTTTTTTTTTTTTTTTTTTTCGTTTTAAATTATTCATTAAAAAGTATCTGGAATACAAAATGGTAATAGCTTATTACCATTATTATTATAAATAAATAAATGATAATCTTGTGCATATGCAATTAACAAAGAAACGACCAATTGCATGCAATGAAAAAATTAGATAGATTAGAAAAATAATGGAATAGATTTTTCTAAAATGATAAATGATAAATGATGTTTAGAAATTTAGAACAATAAAATTATTGGATTCTTAGAGATATTAAAATAACAAAATTGTTGAAAAATTTTTCGAAGAAAATGTGCACGATATAATTAAAATCTCAGCCAAGAAAATGATTGAAACTTAAGAAAACATTTGATAATATATAGAGCAAATGCTTCATCATGAAAAGTTTAATATTCCAGCATTTTAACAGATAATATATACGCGTTTTTAATTAATCTTTCACGAAGATCGATGAAGAGCATATGGATAAGTAAATTAAAGATGAAAATCACCAAGGCCATCAGGAGCATTGATAACATGCAAGGGATCGTAATGAACGATGTACGGATGCGTTGCAGGGAACGCATCAATCATAAAGGAAGACACTTGAATGACGTAATTTTTAACACATTTACCATCGATTAAGTCCAACTGCTTCCAAGATAACACCGATGAATACTAATCGGAGAGGAAAAAAGTCTTTAAAAATTTCAAATTATCACATACTTTCAAAATATTGTATTATATATTATAATTTCCTTTAAAATATAAAAACATCCTTCCAGGGAATTTATGAAGAAACTTAATTTTTTAATAAAAGTATAATATAAGAATGTAATATAAATAAATATAGAAATGCTTAAATTTTTATTTCTTTTTTTTTTTTTTTTTTTGAGATTTTGAAATTAAGAAAATTATTTAGGAATAGCATGCTCATAAATATCTAATATTTTATTAACTTAGAGCTTAAAAGCATGTATAAATTTTATTTCTATTCGAATATATTACATATTATTTTCTCCATACAGATAATTAGACATACATCTCAAAAATAAAAAAATGAACAATATTTATCAACAAAAATTATCGAAAATAAAAAAAAAAAAAGAAAAGAAATCAAGGAAACATCCTCCGTATCCAAGAATTAACAAATCAAGAGATATTATATTTACATGCACGAAGAACCGGAAGCTCCATAAAGTTCGGAAAAAAGCGCGGGCTCGAAGCATTTTCGTAACCCGTATCGATTTCGAATACGAATAGCCTTGTGATTAATGTTACGGGAGTTCTCGTGAGTCATAAAGTTAGCGTTTCACAGCGAGAGAAAGAGGAAGAAAGAGTAATCCTTACAACCTCTCTCCACCTCCAGAAACGAGAAACGAGGAGAGGGAGGGGGAAGAGCGGAGGAAAAGGAGCGAGGGAAAGAGAGAGGAGACATTGGCAGTGTAAATTTATCGTGGTGTTAAGCCGTTAATATTTGCGCTTGCCGGCATTAAATCAATGAAAAATATTCTAATTGGAATATGAAAAAAGTTGGCACGCCGTGACAGAGGGTGCCGATGCCAATTGGAAATGAAGAGAGCGGTGGAGGGAGGGGAAAACTCGCTGTCCCCTCCCCCCGACCACCCACTCGCTCGCCCACTCACTCGCTGCCCGCCGCAGCACCCTCGTATTACAGAATAGAATATAAATTGTCTTAACGAGAGGCGTGCAAAGAAAAATGGCAAAAAGTTTTCCCTTATCCGGCTATGAGAGAACGAGCGAGGGCTCGTTCGCGAACGTGTATTGACCTATAGATTCTCCGATTATTTCAAGCTACAAAGCAAGTTTACTAATTTCACGAATTGCCGTCTTTTTTACCGACGTCAATTAAAATCACGTGACATCGCTGCAACAAGCAATGGAAAGCAAGCTGTTTCTTTACGTATCTCTAATTGCGTCGATTTATTTTACGCGATGAATTTTGTAATTTTAGAAATATGTGTAGGTAGATATATGTAAATTTCGTATTTAAGGTTAATCTCAAAGGAAATTTGAATGTCTTTGCGCAGAATATTAATATAGAATCTTATATACCGATTAATATAATAAGTTAGAGCTCAATTAAATGAATTATTGAAAGATTTGGATTAAAAATTAAAGATAAGAAGTTTTTTTATAATTGAATTTTATTCATCTTTGCTCTATACTCACCCCATAAAGATCGATAGAGGTTATATCTTTAAAAGTAGAAAAAGCTAAGCAAGATTAAATTTGAATACAATTTAAATCTCGATTGGCTTGAATTGAACTTGAATTAGATTAGATTAAACGTGAGTTAATAAAAATAGAAGTAATCTAATCATAATTAGACTTAACAAATCTGATTTAGAGCAACGAGTAAACTTCAATTTTGAATTAAAAACTTGTACCAAACTTGAAAACAAGTCATCAATTTAATTTATTAATTCATTAACTATGTATTTTTTGTTTTTTTAGGTTAATTCACAAAAAAGTCAAAGAATTAATAAGGAAAAAGGCGAGTCATCAAATTAAACTCCAAGAGTTTAAAATCCGATAATATTGGCAGAGATAACACGAGGATTTCAAAAATCACAGTGTGCAATCATTCTACAAGCTTCGATTCCACGATCGCAATTCAAATTGCGAACAATGCTTCCTCTCTCAATCGAGAATTTTAAAATTAAAATTGAAACTTGGAAATCTAGAAATTTCAAAATTTTATAATTTAGATATTTAGAAATTTACAAAATTTACAAAATTTAGAAATTTTATAATTTAGAAATTTACAAAATTTACAAAATTTAGAAATTTTATAATTTAGATATTTAGAAATTTACAAAATTTACAAAATTTAGAAATTTAAAATTTAGAAATTTTCGAAAATTTGAAAATTTGAAAATGTAAAGAGTTAAAAATCTCTGATGATTAGACAATCGGTAACAGAAGAACGCGGCACGCGTAAAAACCGCCCCCGCAACCCCTGACTCGACGATTTCCAACAGAGATCGACCGATCGCCAATAATTTCTCTTCGAGCCGACCGGCTGACACGAAATCCCAGGTTTTACTTCGAATACCGCATTGATTAACTTATCTAATCTAATTTAAATGCGAATGTAGGGGTGGAGGGAGTAGGAGACGGTGAGTGAGGAACACCGACAAGAGGAAACCAGAGACGGAGGGTAAAACGGGGGTGGCTGTCTCGCTACCACTTTTCGTTCCGAGGACTGCAGGGGGATGAACCCTTGTGGTGTAACCATGTGATACTACATACAAAGAGAGGGATAGATAGAGACGAAGAGTGGGAACATTAAGCGCGATAGTGAGAGCCCGGGCAAAGAACGAGACAAAGAGAAAAATGGGGATTCGAGACGATGTAAGGGTGGAGTGTTCGAATCCGAGGCGAGAGTGAACGAGAAAAGGAAGACACATGGAATGTGTGTATAGAGGATGTTTCAAAGTTATATGTCAATATAGATGGATAATGGAGGAGAGCATCAATCAAGAGGAAATTTATTACTAATAGTTAATACATTCTCTAATATAGCAGCAACAACGTCGTTTATTGTAACGTCAAAAGTAAGTTTTATTAATTACAAGCTAATTATTTCGTTAACTTAATATGCAAGATATATAAGAAACTTTAACATATACAGATTTCGATTGCTTAACTATCAGAAATTTAATAAAGAATAGAACATGGATTTAATATCAAGTAATATGTGAAATAATCTATGTATAGTGAATCGCTCGTCATAAGATATCCAAAACTTACGTCTTCAAATTTTTTATAGAAAAAAAAAAAAGAAAATACAAAATTACAGTTATGAAAGAAAAGATACTCCTTTCATCATCCTCTATCAATTCTCTCTTCTAAAGCGCCCTAAATTCTGAAATAGCCTGTACATCAAAAGAGTGAGAAAAGGGAAGAAGACATCGGGAAAGGAAAGGGTAGGAGGTGGTAGGGAGAGCGGTTGCACGAGATAATGAGAGAACCGAGGGTGAAACAAAATGAAGCGATCTAGTATGGGCGGATCGTAGGAGCAGTAATACGAACAGGGTGTACCGTGTTGAGTAAGGCGAGTTAGGGCATACAAACCGCTGTGTAACGTATCAAATCGAGTGCTGAATCCCGGATTAAATCGGCGCCGGGTACGAAACACAGTAGGGTGAAAAGTGGGAGAAGGGGGAGGAGGAGAGAACGACACCCGTGGAACGCCGGCAAAGACAAGGAAATCCACGTAGATACAATTTTGACTAACGCTAACGTTCGCGTGAATGGGAGACACGAACGGGCCCGAGAATTGTTCCCGTTTAATTTTATTCGCTGTAAACGCCGTCGGAGGAAACATTGAACAAGAATATAATACGTTGAAAGTGAAATGTGTGAAAAGGATGGGTTTTGGATTTCTTCCATGAATATTTCGTGTTAATTTTTCATTGCTTGCAATGACTCGATTATCTTGTTTTATATTTATCATTTATCTATAATTAAATATAATTGACAGTTGTTGGTAAATTATAAATATTAAAGTATAAGTTATAGTCAATGTATGATGATTGTTGTATATCATCATGCTCTTTACACATGATATATTCTTATTGGAATAATTTGAATGATCGATATTTTACCATTCGTAACAAAACACATGATTGACAGTGCAATAATAACGGCGATTACGACAATATTGAAACACCGGGTGACTTTGTTACCGAACATAACTAGGGGATTTCCCCTCTGATCCTCGGACACCCTAACTGCCCTTAACTTACTGAATTAGTTTCGCAAATTGAAGAATTCTTTATTTTCATTCCGTCTTTTGCCACTCTGTAGTAAAATAAAGAATTTATTGTATGAATATTAGATTACAATAATATTATATAATACGTATTATAATATTAAAATATGAATTTTCAATAATTCTTTATAGATTGTTTTCGATAAACATTATATAATGAAATACAAATCTCTTCTATCTTTTACAAAACATAATTTTTTTCATTGAAAGAGATATCAAAATAATTTTAATATTTATTTAATAATTAATCTAAAATACTTTTCTAACTCAAAACGTAATTGTAACTCAAATGATAGTTCACTTTCATTTATTTTATCATCTAAGCAATTCTTTCAAAAAGAAATCTCTTGAGAAGATTCATGTCGTAAATAAGCTATATCCCATTACATCGGGCGCGTATTATAAATAAATTTGAGTTATATTAAATTATGTTAAAAAACAGAGTATATTAAAGACGACCCAATAAAAAGAAAAGAACATCGGTTTACATTTCTCTCTTTTAGCCCCCCCTCTCTAACATCGTTTACCGTCCCCCCTTCTCTATTTATCATCCGACTACTCATCTGCTGACTTGTTATTAAATTAATCCTTCGTTTAGTCAAATTGATGCATTGATATCATAGAGCACTCATAACTCATGGCACCCTTTCCGCCACGATTAGTACACGCACACAGCCGTTTTCACGCGCGACCCCTGATTCAACGAAGTGAGGGGGACTCTACTCTGCAATTCCCTATTTGCGCCGATGCAGACTCCACTATTTATTAACATCATTACTTATCATTTCAACTACTCGTGCATCACGATGACGTCACCGAGATAAATGCATCCTATTGGAGGACACACAGCTCAAGCTTTATTTAATGATTACCACTACTAGATGCTTCGATTAATGATTAATGAGAGATCTATGCGTTTCTTTCCGATCAGCGTACGGTCACGACAATATTAGTGACACTGGTTCAAGTGTCGCTTCGATCGCATATTATTAGATCATTTCAAATTTTAATTAGATTATAAAAAATTAAATGTTTCATATAATAGTTCGTTGAAATTAAAAATATACTGGAATGCTTAATGAAAAGCAATCTAATAAAAATGTTTCAAAAATATATCTCTTTTATTTTGCATATTACATACATGATTTTCGAATATTATTATCTCTATTTGAATATTCATAGTATGTGTTGCATTACTGGTTATCAATAAACTTTCAATTGCGCAAAAAAAGAAAAAGAAAATAATTAATTTTACAAAAAACAATAAAAAAAAAATAGATCAAATCTCTAATAACAAACGATTCGGAAGGATTTATCATCGAAAAGTTTGATTCAATCGATCATGAAATGACAGCAGGCAAATACTGTAATTGGTGGATATGCATAATTAGTATACGCGATAGAGACGTTGATGGCCGCGGAAGTTTTATTTTCTGTTTCTTCCTCGGAGCGTTTTCAATTTGAATACCGATTAATCTGACCGAATAATCTTACCGTATATTTCGTGCGGTCCTCCGATATTCGTTTGAGGACATTTTTTAAAACTAAACGTTTCACTTTATCGTGGCATGCAGCAATTAATAATAACACGCAATCGGGCGTATCTTTTATAACCTTTCGGAGTATAAATCGCGAAATTCTGGAATTATCAGGCAGCCGGAATGAAAGGCTATTTCCGTCGCACGGAATCACGGGCAATATTTTACGTGGGATTGGGGTTGAACGCGGACACATCGACGTTTGATATTTTTATGCAGTGGCGCCACCGCGGAGAGATTTACGAGGCAGATATGCGATCACAAAATGTCCGACACTAAATCAAACATGTTGCATCGGAAAACATCAGAAATTATTATTGGGACTTTTATGGGATCGACGGGAGTGAAAGGAACGTACAATGTAACTCGACGCGCCGTTTCATTGCGAGTATCTTTCAAAGAATCTATTGCAGAATAAATCGTGATATATTAGGCGTTTCGTTCTCTCGATTTTATATTCGACACAAGGAAATGTTGTCATTAGTTTAATAAACCATTTTATATTATATTAATATACATTTTATATTATATTAATATAATAAGTTAAATATTGCATTATACGAATATTAATATATTCGTATAATATAAGTAATAATAATAATTGAATTCTTATGATTGAAATTTTAATTAATTTGATTTTAATTTTATTGTCGCACTTAAGAATTTATTTATTATTATTATATCAATCATATCCATATATATATATATAAATTTTATCGTTACATTTTTTGGTAGAAAAAACTTGGCCATAAATCCGTAAATATCTTGTCAATACTCGTTAATCATTCTTAAATAAAAAAAAAAATAAGTTTTAGCTATTAATATTATTAAATTTGTGTATGTTTAATGCAAATAATTTATTAAAAAGTTATCATTTTATAAAATTACATATTATAAAATTTATATAAAATGGGACTTCACAATGTTCAATTTATTTATAGATATAAATAATTGTTAAATGAAATATATAATCTTTATATTCTATATGATTGTATATGATAATATATAATTATCATATGATAATATATAATAATATGATAATATATGATAATTATAATAATATATAATATATGATAATATATTATATAGTATATGATAATATATAATAATATATTAATTATATATATATGATAATATATATATGATAATATAACATTATATGATAATATATAGAATATAAAGATATGATATAGAATATATAATATATATTATTATATAAATTATAAATAATTAAAATACATTAAAGAAATTGTATAAAAATGTATTAAGGAGTTGATTCAATGAAACAAAATCTGCCGAAAATATTAGAGCTGTCATATTACTAATGAAGGAACACAAGTTTTTCTTCCATATCTTCTTTCTGCCGACCTTTTCATTCTTTATCCTTAGAAGAAATAAAGGCAGAGTCGTAACAGTGGATGATTAATATCCGGCTGACAGTTTGTGAAACGGACAGCCAATAAACGGGATAAAAATACTGGTGAAAAATAGCGTGCTCATTAGGGGTACAGTGACATCTGCGACTGCTGCTTCGAAAGTCTTCGAGAAGCACGGAAAAGGTTCTTGGATGAAGGGAACAAAGAAGACAGGTTTATTAAACTAATGGTGGATCATTTTAATATTCCAATGGAAGCGCATTGCATTCGCTGATTCATAAAACTTAATAACTTTTTTCTAGATATTATTATCTCTTCTTCAATTCTCACTAAACTTAATAATTTATGCAATTAGGGGAGGAATGTCAAATTGAATTAATTAAAGAATAAAATATTAAAAATTTATTTATTCTAATTTTATTTTCGTTATTTAATTTTATTTTTATTATAAATGTATCATAAATTTAATTTTTTCTTTTCAAATTAATTTCAAGCATTATGATTTTTAAAAGAAATTTTCTACAATTCAATATATTAAATAGAATTTTTCTATTTTATAATAAATGTGATGAAATTATAATTTATAAAAAAGTATTCTATCTTATAAATGATTAATATTTAATATATAACAAAAAAAATTGTTTCAAGATTTTTAAAAAAATGATTTTATGAACTTTTTAATTATTTATTAACATTTTATTTCTATATTAATTTTAAGTTAAAAAGCAAAATTAGCTTTAGGTGGCGCCACAATGCTAAAGATTTATATCATGTATATATGAGCATTTCAAAGTAACAGTTAATTAATATTTGTTATTATATACTTATAAAATAAATAGATTAATTGTGTAGTAAAAGTTGATGTATTATTCACTGTATTTGTATTTTTCTTATTGAAAAAATGTCTGATGGTAAGTCGTTTATGATATTATATAAATATAACCTTAAATTTTTGTTATGTTTATACAGATTTTTAATTTAGATTTTTTAATCACAATTCCGTAATACATTATAGGTTCAGTTTCAATTTATTTGATTTACAGAAGAAGTGATACGCCGAAGATTACTTATAGATGGAGATGGTATCGGAGATGATCGTCGAATTAATATGCTTTTAAAATCATTCATAAAATGGGCAAATAGTCCAGACGCAGATAATACTTTACACGAAAGAATGTTATCTCAACTTGCTCAATGTGAATTTGCACAACGAAAATCTAGATTAGTCTCAAATATGAGTCAAGAAGAATTGAAAAGTTATGAACAGTTATCGAAAGAAATTGAAATTCAAATAGAAGAGGCTAAAAAAGATATTGAAAGGACAAAAGTAGAATTACAAGATGCAAAACGTGTTAGGAAAAATAGAATTGAATATGATGTATTGGCAAAAGTCATAAATGAGCAGCCAGATAGAGTAGAAACTAACCTAAAACTTGCTACATTACGTGAAGAATTAGGAAAGTTAAAAGTAAAAAAATTATATAATAACTTATAATAGAAAAATTATATTTATTTATTATTAAATTAAAATAATTATTTATTTTTAGGAGAAATCAGAACAATTAGAACACAAATTGGAAATGAGACGAAAACAATTTCATGTTTTAATATCTTCTATACATTCTTTGCAAGGAATGTTAGATGAATGTGATGAAGAAATAATGGATGTAAGTTTAGAAAATTATGAAGATGCAGATACATCTTCAAAGACTGAAGATCTTAAATAAAATTATTTTATAAAAAAAAGAAATTTTTAAATTTTATAAATGCTTTAATATGCTAAAATTTCTATTTTCATATTTTATGTAAAATTTTTTTTCCTTTGCATATAATATATCATATAATTTTACAAATATTAAATATAAGAAATATTTAATAATAAAATATTTTTAACTTAACAAAATGTTAAATAATATAAAAAATTTCCATCAATTACATACCATTTTGTTATCCAATTTTTAATTTTAATTTACTGGTTTTTGGAACATGTCTAATGGTTAAGGATAATCTAATCCCACGTTTTAACGTTTCTCCACCAAGAAATTTTTCTCCACATATATCCAAATTTTTTATCACAGATTTTGAAATAATATCTGTGTCTCTTTCTGCAATTGAATGCAAATAATTATGGTATAATTCTTCTTGAAGAATAAATAAACTTCGACGCTCTAATAAAAGACTGAACTCAAAATTAAGTTGATGTTGCTGAAATAAAATCTTGCAATTAGTTTATATTTGATTTTATAGTTTATAGTTTATAACTTTATAAATATTATTTCACCTCTATATTGTTAATTCGTTTATAAAAATCTAGAAGTGTGTGAGAGCCACAACTAATAGTTGTTACAATAGGATGAAATAATGGGCCATCCGAATGTGCCTAATAAGTATAAATTATAATGTTTTATAACTCTATATATATATAAATATATATTTTAATTTTTTTATTTTATAATTATACCATTATTCCTTGACCAGATAGATATTCATTAATTAAAACATGATTAGGTAATTTATTTTTTTCAAATATATTACAGGATGACACTTTATCAATATATTTTTGAAGCCACTGAAAACTTAGAGTTATTATAAAATATTTAGAAATTATTTATATTTTTAAAATATACAATATTAATTATTATAAAATACTTACAATCGGTATATCTTCTGCTATCATACCTTTTGGATGTGGAATACCACCCCAATTTTGCAATCTTCGATGACTTAACTGAGTCCATTTTGGTAAAGGAACACTATTTATACACTTCATTATTTCAACTTCTTCCTCTTGTGTAATAAAATTTGGAATATATATAGCTAAATTAGGTATCTATAAAAATTGAAAAACAACATTCTTAATGAAATTGAAACATAACCTTAAATAAATAAATTTCGTATTAAGACAAACCTCTGAAATCATATATTTACAAAATATATTTTTATGTTCTTCCATTTTTTAGTAAATAAAATAAAATACTGAATAAATTGTTTATAAAATGTATCTAACAATATTTTATTACTTATAAAAAAGTAAATATTTTTGAGCGCTAACTTTATACGTATTCAAATGTAATGTATATATTTGTAATAAATTTTATACATTATTTTGTATATAAACTAATTTTTTTCTGTTTTAAATAATATGCACAAATTTTATTATATCGATATTACATATTTATATGTGTGTAAGTAATCGAGAAGCTTTTGTTATAAAATTTTTAAAACTTCATACATATCAGATGTAAGAAAAACTTATTCTTTTTGTAGTAATAATTATAAGCATTTGATAATTAAGCTTTTTTTTAATTAATGTTGTATTCGATTGAATAATAAATTAGAAGTTTTTTTTTTTATAGAAATACGATATTTTATATCGCGTATAATTTTTAAAAATGTTATTCTGCTAAATATGTAAATCCAAACACCATTAATTGCTTAGAGATGCGTTTGCGTAAAATCAATTTTATGGAAGGAAATATCCTTCACGTAACTGTACGTAAACCACGATTCTTTAAATATACAGTAACATAAAATAATTTCTATTTCCATTATGTTAAATTTATCAAATTAAATAACAAAAATGGATAAGAATTGGGTAATAAATCAAATGGATAATAAGGAATTAAAACTTGTTCATCAGGTATGTTCTTTGGATTAATGTGTCGTAAAATAAATTATATTATTTATAAGTTTAATTATAAGTTTATATTGATAAAGGTGTATAATAAAATACTTATTATATTATATATTAAATATAATACTTATTATATTTAAATGTAAAAAAAATTTACAGTTCCTTATAGATCATAATTTCGATAATACTGCCGGTGCATTAATGGTAGAAGCAACAATAAAAGGTTTTAAATATTTTAAAAAAGATTTACAATCCGAGAGCGAGATTTATGAAAATTTGTGTAAAGAATTGATGATAAATTACAAAACAGGAAATTTGAAGACATTCTTTAAAGTATGATAAAAATATATTCTTTTAACAAAAAAATAAAAATATTATTTAAATGAAATATAATATATTAAAATTTTTCATTTTTAGTTATGGAACATAATAGTACCTAAAGATGCAAAACAAACAAAAGCTTATAAAATTTTAATGTTACATATATATGTATATTTTGCAATATTACCTAAACATATATTAAAATCACAATGGCATAAAGAAAATGGTATATATAGCAATATAAATATATAAATAAGTATAATCTCTGTATATTATTAATTTAAAATAATTTTCTTATTTCTGCAATAATTCAGATAAAATACAAATAAATATAAATAATTCTATGACATCACTTAATCCACAAGACTTTGAATATGAAGAGGTAATTTCAATCATTACTAATTTATCATTTTTTTTTAATTTTAACTTTAATATAAATATTATAAAAATAAGATTAATAAATAATTGAACAAAAAAATTGATAGTGATTGATTTAACATTAATAACATATAGAATTTTATGACTGAAGTTGAAAAGAATATGAATGATAGTATGGAAGAATTACGCAAATTTCTGAATACAATAGGTAAAGAATTAGAAAACATTACAGAATTAAGACCTTATTTTGCATTACCTTTTATGGAGGACCCATATGTAGAACCATTTCTTTCTAAAATATTTGAAAAAAGTTGGTCAGACAAATTGACAGAACATTTACAGCTTTTCCTCGAAAAGTGCAAACAACAAGTAAGTAAAATTTAAATTATTATAAAAATATAATTTTTTTAATAAGAATAATTGAAGATATATATATATATATATAATATTTTATAAAGATATATGCAATTTTAAGTTTTTTAGTGATCAAAAATATAGTGAAAATTCCAACAAATTTTCTTCAAATTCAATATCTCTAATAGAAGATTCCAAAAAAGATATAACTACAAAAAAAACAATTAGAAATATTAATGTACCAATCATACCAAATGATAGAAATATTCCGATATTTCTAGAAGATAATAAAGTTGAAGATCAATGCAATTTATATGATAATATAAAATTTAATCAAAAGTCAAAGTGAGACATATTTAATATTTTTCTAATATAATACTTTTGGTAATTTTTACTACATTCTTTATTTTTATTCTTTTTTTAGAAGTATACAGACTGTATCAATAAACTCTGAAGAAGAAATTTATTCATCACATTTTACAAAAAAAAATAAAAAATTAGTAGAGTGCACTCAAGAATTGGCTATAGCAAAATCTCAATTATCTAATGTTCATTGTAATTATGAAAAATTAAAAGTAAGATTCCATAAACTCCATACTGATTATCATAAATTGATGAGTATTGCAAGAGTATTAACAACAGCTTTAGAAGATTCAGTAAAAGGAATAGCAATTGATTTTCAAATTATGCTAGAAACTTGTATAAAAATTTTTCCAGATTTGTTTAATCAAAATATAAAAGACAGTTCACATGTAAGCAATAAGAATTTAATATATGTATATAATATTATATTAATTTTTGTATATAATTATATTAAATTTTTATTATATATTTTATTTATTTATATTATATTTTATAACTTCACAGTGTTCCTCGGAATTTTTATTAGATAAATCATCTAATTCGGAAATGAAACTTATTGAATATTCAAATTCGTACAATATGTTCATTCCTCCAAAATTATTAGATTTCAAAAAAATTAAGTTACATTTAATTAATGGAAGCATCAAAACAAAATTATTTCTTTTGCAAGCATTACGAAGGGTAAGACAAAAATATTAATAATTATTAAAATTTTAATACATTAGAAATTTCGATTTTTTAGAAAATAACATTTAGTCAACCTGGAGAAAGAGATGAAACGATGCACGAATATATAAGTAAAGATTTATTAGGACTTCATAGTCAAATCGCTAGTTACAAAGGCAAATCCATTCTGCCATATTTATTAACTCCACAAAACGTTATTATACCACATCCTCTACAGCAATCAATTACAAGATTATTGAACGCTTTAGCATCGTTCAGATGCGGCAGAGATTATTTATCATTTGATTCTACTGTTGTTGATATGGTATATTGATATATTAATTTTTATTTCATTAATAAAAAATTTCACAATTTTTTATTAATTTCAAAATTAATATTTTAGATATTTAAGTGTTTAAATAGTATTTCTGATAATAACATAGATACAATAACTTGTAATATGATAATTGCAATGCTACAAAAATTATCCTTACGCAAACAACAAAGAATTTATATGATAGAAAATGGATTAGTGGAATGGTTGATCCATCATTTACGTGATCAATGTCGTATTATGGATTCCTATCGATTAGAATACGCTACAGCTCTTTTGATGAATTTATCCTTACATCAAGCTGCTCAAGAAAGAGCATCAGCTATGGCATCTCTACTTATTTCAACTTTAATTGATTTGCTTTTAATGGATTATGTATCGGTATAATATATTTCTTATTATTTAAAATTATAATAATATATGTAATTATAATCATAATGTATATTTATTACCATATATTATACCAGACATTACCATATATTAATGGAGCGTTAAATAATTTTTTAACGAATTATGTAATTAATGAAGAAGCAAAAAAACTCAAATTTTCATCTGTAATAGAACAATTCAGTAAATATAAAACTGGTGAAATAAGGTAAAATATTTTTTTTATATAATGGAAGTTATAATACATTAAATAAAAATATTTATATAAAATAAAATTTAAATAAATAGGAAACATTTGGATTACATTCTGAAAATACATAGAGGTGAAATTACTATTAAAATGGAAGATGAAGAAATAGTAGATAATGATAATGTGAGTAATGATTTATAAACTATCTTAGTTGCTAAATAAAAAAAAAATAAAAACATTTACAGGAAGAAATTGATGTATTGGAAAATCAATTGGAAGAAAACGATCCAGTAAAAAATAATTATGGAGAATTATGTGGAGAATCATTATTAGAATCGTGTTATACAGTTTTACCAAAAATAATTAAAAAACCGGAAATAATTTCCAGTGCGCTATCATTTTTGCAATTCCAAGCAGAAACAATAGAATCTGCTGTGCATAATAATCAAATTAAAAATTTATGTTCTGAACATGAAGAAATTTTACAAAGGTATTACTATAGTATCTTGTTCTTAATTAATAAATTTAAATATATTTTTTATTTTATGAAAATTATAAAATTTTTTCATACATTTCAAGAAAATTGTTAAACGAAAAGTATGATGAGAAAAATAAAAATAATATTATAGTACTACAGAATTTTAAAAAAACAAAATCACATTCAAAATTGCATTCTCATGTAATTGAAATAAATTCTTCCCCTGTTGAGGTATTTATTTAGAAATTAATTATTAAAATTAAAAGATTTCAAATTAAAATTCATAACATTTTTTTAAGGATCTGCAAATTTATAAACAACAAGTAACAAATGAAAAATGGAATTCAAATACTGATAAAATGTTTTTAAAAGAGATTCATGACGAAAGTGCTTTATATCTCTATGAAAATCATACTTCAAAGTTTGTTATATATTATTTTTTTTAAATAAAAATAATATAACAAAATTTTTAAATTTATTTTTTATAGGGAAAGCAGTAAAACAACCATTGCATCTTCAATGCTTTTGGGAATTGAAAGTGAAGTTGAAACAACAGGTAAGAAGATTTTTAAAACGATTTTTTTATTGACTTTATCAAATATATATAAATAAATAAACTTAATATTCAATTAATTGTTTGAAATTTCTAAATTTCTAATAATCTTATGATATTTAATAAGTAAAATTTATTATAGGTACTATATTAAATATATTAGTGAAAGTTTTATAACTTTCTCTTAAACATATATTTAATCGTGATCTCAAGAAAAAAAATAATATTTAAAATATTATATTTATTATAGATATATATATAATTACATAAAATTTTATAAAATAATATATATTTAAAATCTATCATTTTATTATTATTTTAATATTTTTCAGTAATGGAGAAACTCAGCAGTATAGCATCACTGTAAGTCAAGATTTCGATCTTGCTTTCGATAAAATGCACGAAGTTAGTTTTATGCACCATTGTATATTTTTATAAAATTTAAACATTTTTATATATTATAAAATTTTGAATAAATTGCATTTTATGTACTGTCAACTTTTTTATCTAATCGATTATTCGAAATCAGAACTTTTTTTATAGGAATCCAGAAAATAGCATCAAAGTTACAGATAATAAAGTTTCATGGACACAAGAGAAAGAACTTGATGAGGAAGAAATATTTTTAGCTAAACCAAAAGTTACTCGAACTTCGACATAATTAAAATTAAATATTAAAAATGTAATAAAGAAAAAAAGAATGAATGTATTCATATCAATAATTTTATTTTAAACAACAAATAACGTTTAATTAATATTAAATATTTCATATAATAAATATATACAAAACACACGGCCATCACACACATTTAACTCATTAAAAAATTATTAGTAATAACCAGAATATGAACTAGCATGTCCTGGTACATAACTATTGCTTCGATATCTTCTTAATACAGGGCTATCAGCATAACTGTTACTACTATGTAAATTCGGTATAGATGAATACGCTATCGACGAAGTACTAGGATATGAATTCATGAAATTCGATTTACTTTTATGACCTCCGGCAATTTTGCCGAGATACAAAGATCCAAAATAATTATTTGGTCTGCCTTCTTTAATTGTAGACAATTTTCCATTACCTTTACCGTGATTACCAAATAAATAATCAATATCTTGTTCCTTGGAAAAATAGTTTAAACCATTGGAAATATAATCACCTAAATATTTATTATATTTATTTAATTTTCCACCGCTATTTCCACGAATATTGCCGAAAGGATTATTTCCAGGATTAGATAAAATCATTGAAGAACCGTAATCACGTCCCATGTTTCCATGACTTCCTCGCACATAACGAGTTTCAGGATGAAAGGAATATACATCATTCATAAATTTGTTGCTTCCTCCTATATTAAGTGTACTATCTTTATGTTTTCCATATGAATAATCATTATTAGGACTATTAAATAGATTAGAAACTTCTCTGTTGTAGATTTGATCAGCACCATCCGTGAATCCTGCATCATTAGATGCGTGATTCCTAAAAGAGTCGCCAGAGTACTCTTCTCGGAAAGAAGAATTCTCTGTACCTAGTTCAGGATAATTTCCCGCGCTAGTAGCACCAGTTAAATTATCGGAAAATTTCATATAAGAGAGATTCTTGTGTTTGTTAATAGAGAACTGATTGAAATCAGATCCGGCTTGATCATTGCCATGGGTATAAGTTTTGAAGGTAGAATCTCCATTGCTGTTGCTACTTGTGTAACTACCAAAACTGGATTGAGCAGCATTATTTGCAAAATAGGAATTCGAAGCAAGATTTTCACGATTACCAGTATTAGAGTAAGTAGAAAAGTCAGTATTATGGGAACTAGGTGAAAATCCGTTATAAGAATTGCTTGTTAAACTTTCTTCGAAATTTCCTTGACTCCTGCTGTTAGTCAATAAATGTCCACTATTTCCTCCACCGTAAAAATCCATGTTTTCTCTATGACCTTCTTTGTCAGTCATATAAGCACCGTTGTTGATGATGTTGCTATTATACTCGAAACCATTGCTTTCTCCTATAATGGGATAGCCTATAAATTCGTGAAATAAAAAAAGATTTTGTTTATCATAATGTCAAAAAATATTTATTTAAATTAAAATTTCATAAAAGCAATTAAAATTAATAATAAAGAATACTTAATTAATTTTTTATAATATTAATATCTTAATATTGTAAGTATAATTTAAATATTTATTGTCTTAAAAATCCTATAGCAATTTAATACAGATATAAGAAATTTATTTTCATAACATATAACATATAAAAAAATGCAAGTAATATACATACTATTAATTGCTGTTGCTGGTTCCGCATGGACCAGTACGATGCAACTAAGAATTACTACACTCTAAAAGTAGAATAGTTTATAATATAAATTAATAATCATCAATAACAAATAACAATGCGGATATATATTTTCAATATATAAATATATTTTGTAATAAATAATATAAAGTTTTTTCGATCAAATTGAAATTCAAATATCACAATTTCATAAAAATTATTTTTCAGATTGTTCAATACTCACGAGCGAAATAATATTCGCCATGACAAAAGGGAGATAAGTTGCTAAAAGAAGTCACACTATTTTAATAAGCTCAAACCAAGTTTCTTATAACAAATTGAAACTACACACATACTGATATGCGAATCGATTCCTTACCATTTTATACTCTTAGAAATCCCTCCTCGCTCACAAAAAGGTAAAAGCGATCTTGATGTGCACATACTGATAGGACATTGGTTGGTACTCGACCATACAGAGCAGGGAGAAAGAGTCAACCTGATTTAACTCTTCACTTTTACGGGGAAAGCAATGGGTCAGTCCGCGTGCAACTGACTATTCAGTGAACTATGAAGAGCATGACCTACCTAACATAATTAGACTTTTTAATTCATATAAAAAACTATCCTTTTTCTTGAACTTCGGCTTTGCTTCAAATAATAACTTTATATTTTTATGTCCATTTATAGATCTCATTAGTTTTTATATGGAAAATAGATATAATAAAAAAACTGCACAAAATGAAATAATATAATTTTATTTGATAATAATTTGAATGAAGAATTAGAAAGAGAAGTATAATGAAGAATTCAATTTTTAATATAATTTATATTGGATTATAATAAAATAATATATTTTTAAAAAGTAAATTTTTTAATGAATATAATATATATATATATATATATATATATCAACAATTCATAAAAATGAAATTATAATAATTTGATCTCAATATTTTTTTTAAGGTTTATAAAAAATTGAAACTATACACATATTTATAAAAAAAAGAGATTTACTAGAAAAATATATAAATACATTACATTATACAAATATATTGTACGTAAGTATTTGCATAAAAAGTATAATTTAATTAATGTTACTATTAATGGATTTAGTTCGCATATGATTATAGTCTTCGTGTTTTTAACTTCAATTAGTTGATCGAAAGTTTCCCATGCAACCGGTATATTGCAAGCTTTCGTAAAAATATTGCCCTGATTTCTATGCATTATCATTGCCAAGGTTAAGATATTTGTTACGGTGGGTGGATAACTTTTCTCCAATGAGAAAGGAAACCGCATTATGTCTTTGCATTATAATCATCATTTTAATCAATGATAAATTATTTTCATAATATTAATATCTGATTATTATGTAAAATAATCAGATATATAAATATATGCATTACTTATCCTATATCTTTTTTCCGCAAATATTTATCTTAAAAATAAAATGATTAATAATAGAAATTATATATCATTTCTTATTAAAAAAGTATTACTAAAAAATTTAAGAAATTTGATCAAATCTAAATACTCAAATTAACAAACTATTTAAATTATATTATAATTATATTTTTTAATTCTTGTTTTTTTTTATTCTTTTTTATATCTTCATATTTTTTAAAATAAAACATAAATATTTCGACGTGTGTATAATAAATAACATATAAAATAATATCTAAAAACATAAAGTTGAATAATCGTTGCGTAAAATTATTATAATGATAGTTATTAAATTGTTCACACGCGATAAAAGAAAAATAAAATAAATCTTATCTTAAAACCTGCTTTCACATTAAAGTCATAAATAATATTCACAAATACTTTTTTCAAAATTCGTAAACATCGGAATGAACATTTTGCTCAATTTACATCTCGCATAAAAGAAGTATGATTTTTGAATATCAATAATCTTTCATACAAAAGAAATTTTTCGTGATGTTTGATGTTACCATGAATGTTGCTCGATAAATTATAAAATAATAAGATTGTATGTTCCTTAAAGTTTCAGAATTAGATAGAAAACAAGTCACATTAAAAATGATATAAATTATTTTAATCTTATTTTAATAATAAGAGAATGATCCTCTCACTACAATTGATTATTATGCAAACTCGCTTTGCAAATGGACTTTCTCTAATACGAAAATAATTTGCATCAATTACCAACATTGTATGATAGTAATTGATAATGAAATGTTTATAATAATTGAAATAATTTAAAATGTAATTTTTAAATACTTATTAAAAATAATAATTATTAAAATTGAAATAAAAAGAATTATTTATCATAATTTAAATAATATACTCTTTATCGGATCGAGTATGTAATATCCATATCCGGATATTTTACGAAAGTAATCCAACATTTTATCAATATTTTAACTTATTCTATTAAAATCTAATGATATATTGATGTTAATAAAGAGAAAAATATGTTTTTCTAATATATTTTGTATTTCTAATTTGAATAAAAGTCTTGAAGCGAATAATTTTTAATATCTTTTAATATTATAAATTTAATTAAAAAAATTTATACAATATTTCATCTTTATTACTAAATATCAAAAAAAAAAATTATGATAAATTTTTAGATAAAAGATGATCCAAAAGATATAAGATAGCAATATGTAGATCAAAATAAATCAATCGTATGCTACTTTCTGACATGAAAACCAGAATGACATTGCTACATCCTTGTTATTATCTTTTGCAATGCTTTCTACTTTCTGCGTATTCGAGCGTATTCATTTGAAACGTACGTCGACCATGTGCATCGATCAACTTAATTCCAAAATGTTAATGACAATGACCTAGGACACTATTAATGTCGTGAATCACAAGTAAAACATATTGTTCCATTTATTACAAAAGATTTGACATTAAATTTTATTTTTTATTTTTTTCTTAACGAAATTTATATTTTATATGAAAAAAATAATTTTGGAAATGCTATAAAAAAAAAAGTGAAAGTAGTAGATTATATTCTGTCTTCAATCTTAGTATATGCTTTTTTTTTCAAATTAAATTGTAACTGTAACAAATAAGCGTCCTGATGACATAGTTTTCTATTCTCTGCGAAAAAAGACATCTCTAGGTCGAGATACAAATTGTTGTTTTCTAAGAAACTATTAAATAGCTATGGTAAGAAATGGTAAAAGTTGTATACGCGTAACAATGCTAGGCATTAGTACAACGTGAAGAAAGTAAAATGAAAATGGAAAGTAGACGATAAACTAATTCCAAATAGATACTTCTTTGATGTTGTCACATGTCGAACATAATGTCTTTGATGAACTGCATGAAACAGGCATGTATCGTATTGCATACTTATTATATATAGTTAGTCGGTAATTTTAAAACTAATGTCAAGAAAAGTTGAAATCAAATAAAAAATAAGACTTGAATGAAAAGAATATAATATATTTGTGATAAACAAAGAATAAGATACGAACAGGTGTGTTACACTTTCGAAGCCAGAAAGATTTTTGATGCGAAAGTAGTAAAGGTATGTAGTACTGGTATTATAATCATAATTTTATATTTTTTTATATGTTTAGTATATTATGATAACAAATCACTAATAATAATTAGATATTTTAGATGTTTTATATGATTTCATTTTAACGACATTATTTCATGAAAAAAATTGCATTTTCTCGTTTTGCCGCGATCAAAATTGAATCTATGCCAATAAAATTATATGCTGCGCATGCGCATGATTTCTTGAAACAGCGCCAATTAAAGAGAAGTTCGATCTCATGCATGGCATTTTACTTGTGTAAGCGAAGTTGATTGAATGAGAATGTAACAAATTATATTTTTGCGATGAGATCATACAGAAAACATAACCAAAACCATCAATTAGGAAATCCAAATCCGATTGTACATTTTCAATTTGTTATTATTAAGTGTAATTGTTTTATCAATTGCATTATTAAACAATAAAGCAAAATTATCTTGAGATCAAAGCAACAACTATGTCTTTTAGTGAGTAAACTGACAAGATGATAAATGTCAACACGTGGACTTTGTATGATGTGCTTTGTGATTATAAAAAATTCAATCAAAATAGGTTAAATAATATATAAATTATAATATTATATAATATATGAAAAAATTATGCTTTGTGACATTGTGAAAAATAATTTAATAAAATATTTTACGTAGTGTAGTGTGATTATTTTAAGAAATCGATCTTTTTTTTAGTTAGGATTATTACACCTGATAGTTCAGAATATCGTTATTTTCCCATCACAAAATCTCGTCTTAGGCTATGTGTACAAGCTGCTCATGATGCAAGAATTTCTTTACGTACCCATTTAGGTGGAGACTCAAATGTATATGAAGTATGTTTATATTTTGTTGAAAATAAATATTAATGTTAAAAATCATACATATGTATAATTATATTGTATTTATTATATTCATAGATTATTATTGGAGGATGGGGAAACACAATGTCAGCTATAAAAAGGAATAACCAAGAACAAGATGTGGCAGAAGCAGAAACACAAAACATATTAGGTGCTCATCATATGTGCAATATTTGGATTCAGTAAGAAAAATTATAAAGCTTATTTAATTATTAAAAATTTAATTTTAATTAAATGATAAGAAAATTACAATAATATGATGTTTTTAGATGGTTTTGTGATGGAACAGTAAATGTTGGGCATTTAAATGGTGAAGTTTTTTTATCGTATAAAGATAGAAATCCATTTGTTATAAATTATATAGGAGTAAGCACTGCTTGGGGTGCAACTGGTGAATTTTTGATAGAAGGTATATATTAAATTTTCAAAATGATATTTTGATATTCAATAAATATGTCATTCTTCATTTTCATTTTAGAATCACCATGTACATCCATAGTTGTCAGACAACAATTGATAGAAACTTCTCATTTTTGGGTAGATTATAATGAATCATCTGGTATTCCTCAAAATGCTGTAATGGCCTCAGAAGATGGTTTATACATAGGTCGTACTCATCACAGAGATTCACTCACACCTGGTGGTATTAGGAATAATGTGTGTACAATTGCATGGGGTGGAGCTTCTCATGATAAAAAAGATTTTCAAATATTATGTGGTAGAGATGTGAATTGGGTAAAATCATGGGAAGGCAGTGTTCCTTTATATGCTCTTCCTGCTGGTGAATCCGAAGACGATTATGCCCTTTTTATAGGCAGAGTTTTACATGAAGGCATATATCATATAGGAAAAATACAACCAAACCATCAAGTATGTTATATACCTGTGGACGGGCATGAAGAACCTTATATTGATTATGAAACATTGGTCATTTGTGATTATTATGCCGCGGAATATATTGGTAGATAAGATGTTTTTCTTCTGAGAAAATATTTATTTTTCATGTGAGATGCAAAGTATTTTTTTATGTCATATATATGTATTTATACAATTGCAATTAATTTAACAAAGATAATGTATAAATTTAAAAGATAATTATAATAGTATTATAAAGGTATTGAATAATCATACATATATCTTGACATTTATTTTATGAAAATCTAGTTTTGTACATCTACAAATTTGTACATTTATCGTATAAATATCTATAGCAGATTTTTATTGTAAGCTTCCATTAAATTATTTTAATAAATGACTGTTTTCACAAATAACAGTATACTATTATAAAAAAAAAAATTTATTTAATAATTGTACATTTAATATTAATGAAAGTAATATGTAACATAATGTAACATAAAAAATAATATTTAATAAAGAAATTTATTTATAATGATAAAATTTAAAAAATATGTATATTTTGTTAAAAATTAAATTTAATAGTATTATAATATAATAGTTATTCTTTATAATCTATATTCTTTATATTCTAATATAATATAATAGTTATTTTTTTAAAATTTGTATATATATTTGTATATTATATGTAATTACTTTTTAAATTTTTTAAATTTATTGAAATTATTGAAATTATTTATTGAAATTTATTGAAATTTTTTTAATTTTACATTATTTTAAATTATTATGTAAATTATATAAATTGTGATAATAAGTATTTAATTTCAAAAGATAACATTTTATATACATTGACTAACAAAAATATTTAAATATTAATAACTTCAATTTTTATATTTTACATCCACAATAAACATATATAAATCAATAAAAATGTTATTTTATCACAGGTTATCATTTAAATATTTAAAAAAAATATCAAATGAAAATGAATTTTTGTTATAAAAATATTCAAATATTTAATAAATTCAAGTTATAAAATAATAATAACAACAATTAAAATAATAATTTTTATAAAAGTTAAGCATTATATTTTTTTTATATTTTCTTGGTTTTAAACTATTTTAAGTAGCCTAAAATTTTAAAAATTATTTTTTGTTAATAATACACTCTACACTTTTTTTCTTATTTTAAATTTATCATTTTTCTCTAATGTATATTATTTTTAATTTATTTAATGATTTTGATTTATGTATTATTATATTTAATATTATATTTAATATAATATTATATTTAATATTTTATAAAAAAATATTTATGAAATTCGTTATCTTAGTTGTTAATAATAATTTAAAATTGTAATCTGTAATCATTTATATCTAATATTCTTACAAAATAAAAGTTTTTTATTTATTTTATAATATTTAGATAATAAATAGATTTTTAATTTCTTAGGATACCCACATACAATATTATAAACACTTAATATTAGCACAGATAAAATACAGAATAAATTTAATCTAATATTTAATGGAATTTGATATAACTTCTACGATTTAGAACGAAAATACTTATATATATATATATATTATAAAAATTAATAAAATCAAAATTTTAAAAATAATTTTTTTAATATATCTTTTTATAAATATATCCATGAATTATATATATTGAGTTATATTTATAAATTTTTTATATAAATATAGAAAATATATATTATACATATATACTTTTAATTTAAAAATTAAATCCAATATATTTTGTTAAAATTTTTAATTAATAGATTAAATAAAGAAAACAAATTAATATAATTAATTAGATATATTATTTTTTAAGCATAAATTTTGTAGAATAAGTATAAATATATATTGTGTAAATATAATAAATAAGGAGAGCAAATACTAGAAGAAATAGTGTAAAAATTAATCGACTATCATCTCTTAAATGTATATAGAAAGATATTTTTAGTATTTAAAATATAGTAATTATTATATCTCTATTAAATTCAAGTAAAAAAAATAAGTGATTATTATACTAATATTATATTGATAATTTGAATAAAACTTAAAGTTTTTTTCTTTTTTTTCTACAAAAACAAAATATAAAATTTTTAAAAAAATATTTGCTAAAAATTGTATATCTTAAATTAGTTATTCGTATTTTACATTATTATTTTATGAATTTTAAAATATATTTATCTGTTCTGCGTATCTAATAATTTTAATAATTTGATAATATAATTTTAATAATACAAATTTGTTTTAATTAAAATATTATTTTTTATTTTGTTTATTAATATATATATACACACACACACACACACACACACACACACACACTTAATATATATACTTATCTACTTAAGATACAAACATAATAAACTATGATTTTTCTTTCTTTAATTTAAATTTAAAATATGCTAGGAACAATTTTTGTTGTAATATTAGAAAATTAATAATACAAAGTTTCGCCATCTATTTATATGATATTTTGATCTTAAAATCTAAATCTAGTATGCATTCTATGTATTTTTTTAAATCACAGTATTATTTTTTTTATATTGCTGATACACAAATAATATAACGTTCTCGTAATATAAAATTTTCGAATGTTTATTATTATATGTATCAACTACATTTTGATTAACAATACTATTTTGTGTTAAATAACAGTTATTTTATTAAAATTGATTGAAAATGTTCAATCAAAGTGGAGGATTACAAACTGGCACATCATCTACTTCTAATCCAATGCAAGATTTTGAGGTTGTCTCTCCTCCTGATGATTCTGTTTCCAGTCTCGCATTTAGTCCTGCTTCTATTCCACAAAATTTTCTTGTTGCTGGTTCTTGGGATTGCAATGTTCGTTGCTGGGAAGTTGAACAATCCGGCAAAACAGTTCCTAAATCGATGCAATCCATGGCAGCCCCAGTTCTCGATGTTTGTTGGAGCGATGTAAGATAATCAAATTTAGAATAATATTTTTAGAATGATTTTGTAGATTAATTAATTTTAAATTAATTTTATATAAAATAGGATGGAACAAAAGTATTCATGGCATCTTGTGATAAAACTGCAAAATGTTGGGACTTAGCTTCAAACCAGGCTATTCAAGTTGCAGCACATGATGCACCTATTAAAACTTGTCATTGGATTAAAGCAAGTACATATTCGTGTCTTATGACAGGTTCTTGGGATAAAACATTAAGAGTAAGTTTTTTATTTATATTATTGATAATTTATGTGATTTATATAATAACGAAATATTTTAGTTTTGGGATCTACGAAGTCCTAAGCCAGCAATGACTATAAATTTAATTGAAAGATGTTACTGTGCAGATGTTGTAAGTACAATTTTTATTTTTAATAGTAATTTTTTGAAGATTGTAATATTTAAAAATTATTATAGGACTATCCAATGGCAGTAGTAGGAACTGCTGGACGTGGATTAATAGTTTATCAGTTGGAAGGTAGTCCTCGAGAATATAAGACAGTAGAATTAAGTCTAAAATATCAGTATCGATGTGTTGCAATTTTTAAAGATAAAAAAAAAGTTCCCACTGGTTTTGCAATTGGTAGTACAGAAGGTCGTGTAGCAATACATCATCTGAATTTAAGTTCAAAAGAAAATTTTACTTTTAAATGTCACAGAACAAATGGAACTCCTAATGGATATCAAGATATTTATGCAGTGAATATTAAATTAATCAATTACTTTACAATTTTTTTTAAATATTCATTTGAATAATCAAATATTTTTTCTTTAAATATTCTTATAGGTAAATGATATTGCATTTCATCCAGTTCATGGTACTGTTGCAACTGTTGGAGGTGATGGTACATTTGGATTTTGGGACAAAGATGCAAGAACTAAATTAAAATCTTCAGAACCTATGGAGCAACCAATTACTCGGTGTTGCTTTAATCACAATGGGCAAATATTTGCATATGCAGTATCATATGATTGGTCAAAAGTAATTATTAATATTTTTGTACAATTAAATCTTACATAATAGATTAATGTTGTTTTGTTATTTTATATATAAAATGAAAATATTTATTTTATTCCAGGGCCATGAATATTATAATCCAGCTAAAAAAAATTCCATATTCCTTAGACCATGTTTTGAAGAACTAAAACCTAAAGCGTCACCGTAAGACCAGAGGAACACCATATAATCAGGCTAAGAATTCTGAATTCTGTGATGTGTTTTAAGATAATAGGTTTTATAATTACAGAATATACTGTTTACATTAATAAATTATAGCTTTCCTATCTTTTTTTTTAGTTATACAAGTTTTCCAATATTATTTCATTATAATACATTGTAAATAGCTTCGATATACAATACAATTGTAGTTTACATTTTTCATCATATATATATTTGACTATTTCTCACACAAGCTCATTGTACAAAGATGTATATACATGCAAGAAGAGTCTTGTTCTTTTTTCACAAGTATAGAAATGTAAAAAAATAATTCCGATAAAAATTCTTACAATATTTTGAAACTGACGTGAAAATTAAACTATTTTTTCATTTAGTGCTTTTAAATAAAATGCTAAAATAAATATAAATTCAATTTTATTGTTTAAATTATTATTATTAATTTAAAAAAAATTCATTTAAAAATTAAAAATTGAATAAAATAAAAATTACTAGTTTCAAATATATCATAATTAAGTGCTGATATTTATAATAATTACAAAAAATGTGAAATTTATAATTTAATAAATAAATTTATAATTTTCTATTTTACAAAGGAAAAAATGTTCAAATAAGAAATACTTTAAAAGAGAAACATCTTTTTCAATGTTAAATTTTTCATTCTAGTTAACTTTTTTAAATAACGTGACTCTTACGGTAACTTTATATTTCATATATGTATGTATATGTATGTATATATATGATATATATATATACATACATATATATATATACATATTGATTTAACGTTTACTAAAATGCTATACTACCAAGGTGTCTTCGTGTAATTAAAAAAAAAAGAGAGAGAGACGCAATCGTTTTATAAGAAATACAACATTTAGTTTATTTTGCGAATTCCTAAGCAATAACTCCCTAACAATATCGCGAAAAAGAGTCCGATGGATCTATGCTTTTTTCAACGTATATTGTCCTATTCGATGTGTTTACAAAAATTAACATCTGTTCGATTATGAAAATCTCATTATACGTTTCCTCCAGAGAAGAAGCATTTAGGTTGAAATAAAGGAAGTTCAAGGATATTCAAAGATTGGAGAGTTGGCGAATTGGACGTGATTTTGCGCTATATCCAGAGGAAAAAAAGAAAAAGGAAAAAAAACATTACATGACTTCCTTTTTAACATCACATTTCTCAAATGATTAATATTAAAACGATATTAATTAATGATTATTACTATCGATTAAGAATAATATAATTATTAATACTAATAGTGTACAACCATACGTTATTCTTTTTTCTTGCGGGCGTTAAGGATATAACATCGTGAAATGTTTTTCTCATATTTAGGCTCATGTCTAATCGGTTTCTTGAATAATATTACTCTGTTTCACATTCGTTCATTTTACATACACACCCATTCACGCTCTTACATACAACACGTTTCTTTTTCTTTTTTTTCTGATCTCATGTTCAGATCCATGTATTCTAAATTTCTGGCAGCTTTCTTTCACGCATAATAAGGAAATAAACACATACTCGGAATACAGGCACACTTCTCTATAACTTTTCCATTTGCCTTCTCGACATGGCAACAACTCGTTTCCGATTTCTTTCCTACCCCATATCTGAATCTGTTCAAGAGTAGAGCGGTTTTGAATCGCAATTATATTACATTTATTTCAGCCCGCTGCATTCTCTCTTATTTTTCTTTTTTTCCAATGATGAATTACATTGAATTCTTATTTATTATCTCTTAATTGTTAAGATCCTTAACTAAAGTGTCTGATTTTTTTAAGTCTTCCTTCCATCAGGAATTATTTATCTTTAAGCTCTGCATCTCCTCATTTTTTTTAAAGATCGTTCAACAAAATAAACTCTAGCGACGAGACATCGGTAATTACATCGTTAATTTTACGTATATACATACGCCTTTAGTTTTAATATGTATATATAGCGAAGTAAAAAGTTTATATACTAAATCTTGAGCGAAGATCAATCGGTACTTTTACATTTGTTTTATCAATATTTTAATCATTTTTCCCTTTGTTATTTTTGGTTGTTTTTTATATCTCATTTCTCTTTTCTTTTTTGTCTTCGCTCTTCGATTTTCATGCAAAATCACGCAAAATTTGCTCAACTTTGCAGAAATTTAGGCGAAACCGAATCCTTCACTGCATTCGTGGATCGCTTTTAATAAATTCGTGCGAAGCTTATCGTATGTTTCATAAACTGGTAGATCTAGCTGATTGAAACTAGAAACGAATTTTATAAGTTAAATTTAAATTCTAAAAAATTTAGAATGAAATAATATATATTTACCATGTATGTGCTGACGGAAGTCTATCTGTCGATCTATCTTCACGATGAATTTGGAACTTTTGTATACCATTCATTCCTTCTAAAGCAGCGAAACCTTGAAGTGGCACTTTTGAAGTTCCAGTAACAAATTGCAAAAATTTAGCCCTATCTGCTTGATCGAAACCTCGTAATGCTCTCCAGAACCATTGAATCTAAATATAAAATAAATAATATTTGTTATTAATAAATTCAAATTCAAATTTAAAAATATTATTAAATAAAATAATATCTTGCTATATACTTGTAAAGAATTTGCATTATATTTATGATATTCAGTATTAGCTTTAAGATCCTCAATATCTACATTGGGTAAGCCACTAATTAACAATTCAAGTTCTTGTTCATTGAATATAGAGATCAGTCGTTTGGGAATAATATCATAAAAACCTTCTAGGAACGCATTTAATCTGTAAACAAATAAAAAAAAACATTATATTTTATAAATCTATAAGAAAATTAATTATTTTATAAATCTATAAGAAAATTAAGATATTAAAATTAATCTTTATTTTATTTACTGTTTACGAATTGCTCCAGTCATTTTCATTTGACATACGAGCCGAATATATTCTAATTTTGTTTCCTCAGTAACAATGATATTACGTCCATTTGGTATTAAGTCACGCACATCATTTACACCAAATTCGTTTACCTAGAAAATCAATTAAAAAATCACAATATACAATAAAAAAAAATGAATATATAAATAAAAATTAAAAATTCTATTAATCTATTAATTTACCTCTGTAGAGAAAGTTAATTCATATCCAAGATCAGCAATATTATGCTCTGTGAGATATACAAGTCCTTTGTAAAAACTATAATCCTCACTTTCCATGTCTGTATGTTTCACAAGTATTCCCAAAATGTGTTTATAAAAACTACGCGTGAAGTAACATTCTAATAATTTGTTGTCATAAATTGCTTTAGCTGTGATAACAATTATTAATATTAATTATTTTTGTTTTTTTGTATATCATTAAAAATATAAAATAAAAAACTTACCTATAACTCGACCGACAAATTTATAATAACATAAGTGATTAGGATTACAATGCGAAGAGGAGTTTATCATATATGTAACTCGATCGCCAGGACTTACAGTAAACAGTGCGTACATAGGATTAAAAATTTCTCTGGAAATAATAACATACCACTCTCTAAGTAATCCTCCAGCATCTTGCCCTTCTTCACCTAAAATTATTTTAAAATAGAATAAAACAAAATAGACTTCATATCTTAACATATTTTTTAATGATCATTGCATATTATGTACCTTCAAAAACAATATAAAAACGATTTTTCCATTCATCAGCATTACGCCTATGAAGTTCTCGAAATGAATCTTCAAATACATTATTCCTACGAACATGTACTGCCAATTCTTCTCTTCGAATACCTTCATCCATTCGTTCTAATTCTGTTCGGAAATATCGTCTTTTTACGTCAAAATCAAGAACTCTTGTGTGATCCACTAACACAGAGAATGGTCCATCTGCTAAATGTGTGGTTGTTTGACGAAGAATTTGATTTAAAACAGTTCTGTGCGTTTCTGTAATATGTAAAACGTAATAAATATGAATTTATACGTTTGAATATTATATAATATTCTATTAAATGTATGTATGATGTTATGTATGATATTTTGATATTTTAATATAATAATGTACCTGCAAATTTAAGGAACTTGAGTTGGTCCGGTGGTAACGTCTTCTGTGGTGTAGGTTGTATATCCCAAGAAGTATTAATAGTAGCTTCTGATTGGGATGTTCCTTCATTATCTGAGTAAATTGGTGAAACAGGTGTTAGATCAGGAACTACTTCGCGATTTTCCGTACTTGTACTTAGATGACGATCACGAGAAGTACTCGATGATGAATGTACTAGGAAAAATGCTTCTACCGCAGGCTATAAAATATAATTCATCATGTGCAATTGGCTAATAAGAAATTAAATGAAAATATAAAATTTATAATATTTACTTGCAATACTAAAACTGCATGTTGATCTGGAGTATATTCCAATTCTAATAAACAAGCACTGAGTGTTTCCCACAGATGATCTAGTACTAAACTTTCACTTAATAATGGAAGCTTGTCTTCACCTATAAATTGTAAATTACAAATATTATTTAATAACTATGAAAATTAAACAATGTTTATAAAAATATAAAGCTTTAAATTACCTGATTCTGAAGCTTGGTTAGTATTTTCAGTGTCTACAGAACTTTCGGAACTTTGAGTGGCTGAAAAAAAATATTATAATTTATTTTATTTTCTGTTTTATATTAATATTTCAGTGACAGAAATAATGAAATATTAAACATACATGTTTTTTTATTATTTGCTAAACGTACAGCTTCCCTTATTTGTACAATCACTTTAAGTATTCTTAAGAAGAATGCCTGACTAGAAGTTTTGCTAACAAGGGCAGCCATCGATGGTAATTGAAGATCGCTGCCGGCTTTAACTTTACTTGGTGCAGTAATAACTACACTCTCGTTGGTAAATCTATAATAAATTATTATATTGATGTATAAAAAAAAAAAAAAAAAAAAAATAAAAAAAATAAAAAAACATGAAAAAGATAGTATTTGTGTATTTGTATATAATTCAAAAAGCATACCTATCTAAAAGAACCCAACGAGAACCTCCAGTACTAGTTGATGGTTGCTCTTCGATAGAATTTCGTCTAAGTTCACGATTCAAAACTTTTAACTCCATTAATAAATCTTTAATGTGTTCACAAACAAC